TCTAACAAAATATGGAGATGTCAGTGAAGGTGTGACTGTGGGGCTCAGGGGGGGCTGTATTTGAGAAATCTCATTAAAACAACAGCTTGCTGACCAACAAGGCATTCAATAAGAAATACATTAAAACAAACCAGGCAAGTGACCCACATGTGAAACGCCTAAGTCCACTGGGAGATGAGTTGCTTGGGGGAGTTCCCAGGCTCTGCCTTCGAAAGAGAACCCGCTAGTGGCCAGTGATGCTGCTGGACCAGAGGGGAGGCCGAGAAAGAAAAGACACTCAATCTGGCCGAATGGACGGAACACCATCCCCGGCCTTTGTGATAAAACACCCAAACCAACTTGTAATGAGGTTTTCACCACAAAGGTGTTTCAGAAACTTTAGGCAGCTGGTACATTTTCTAAAAATTTGTTTTCTTCAGTTCCTGGAAACTTCAACACAACTAAGAAACCAGCATTTACCAACTTAGGTACGGTCTCTTCCAAGGAAAATCCCAATTAGAGCCAAGGAGACGGCAAACTGTTACTACCAGCAGGTCTATCAATGAAAGTTTAGAATCTCAGGCCAAGAACCTTCATTTTCCCCAGCTGCTTACAAAAAAAAAAAAAAAAATTGCCTTTCTCCCTAATATGGAGGATGGGCAGATGCAGGTCTGAACGAAAATAAAGCCAAAATACAAAATTACCTTCTCTCTCTTCACTCAATAGAAAGAACCACTCCACCTGATACGGCTGTCTTACTATCAATTCCCTCTAGTTAAGCAGCCAACCTGAACCTTCTGTCACTCATGACCTTCCCAAGAAGTCAGTCTCAAGTTCTCCAGAGACAGTAATCACTTAAACACAAGCCGGAGGTGATAAAAAGTACCTCAAAAAAAACGGACAGACACGTCTATTTATTTGCTGCCAGATAACCCATTAAGATACCTAGTACCTAGGGAAGGCAAGGACTAGTTAAGTTATGCTTTTTTAAGCTAAAGCACAAAGCTTGAACCTTTTCAAAATCCCCAACCTGGATGCATTTCAAAAATTAGCATTTGAAATCACAATTTTCTGTCCGGACAAAGTCTCTTTCACCAAAGGGCATATGTAGCAGCATTATTTCCTGGCAGCCGGGCTTGCAGTGACATCACAAGATTGTTCCACTCAGGGAAACATCTAGCACTGGTCAAGTGTGAGGTCATCAGCTAGTTAGCTGCTAAAATATGACCGGAGAATGCCCTTCACATCTGTGATGGAAGAACTTGACTTAAAGGGGAGGCAGAGTCAGATCAATCAAATCAGCCCATTGCAGGGATTTTCAAAGCACGTGCAGCAGGATGTGAATAGATGCTATATTTTAAAAAGGGTCTTACGGTCAGTAAGTTTGGAAAACCCTGGGAAAGGACAAAAAGAAACAGATGTCTTACTACAGAACTTCTCAGAGCTTGTAACAGGCTGATAGACACTGTAAGTCTTCAAGAAAGGTCACAGTATGAGGTATTTTCCAAATTCATTTCAAAATACAACTCATTTTTGGCAGAGAATTATGCTGAACTAGGGTTCCAAGCGATACTCTTTGAGAAACACCAGCTTATTCTCTTAATGTACAAAACCAAACCTGAACGCTGCTCTGTTTTTAATGGGATCCGTAAAAGATATATACGTGAGGACGGTAGTTCCACAAAATACTCATTCAACATCCAGGCTAGTCCTTGCCCTCCAGAAGCAATCTACCAGAAAAGGCAGGTCTGAGATACTACGTGATACTACACGTGATACAACGTACACTACCTGTGATGCGACAGAACCCGTGAACAACAGTCAAAGCCACTCAATCGCCCAGTGTAAACAAGGAAATCCTCTGAGCCCACTTTTGAGCTGGGTCTCGCAGGATGAGGTAAGAGTTCAAATCAACCTGAACATTGCAGTCCATTCCTATAAAACTCAAACCGGACCTGGAGGTTAACGGATACCAGTTTCACGGCCAAAATGCAACGATCCTGCCTTAATTTTTGACTGTTCTTTTTGCCATTATATTTGACTACCGTACTTTTTGTGCTCCGTACAGAATCTAAGAAGAACTCTACCAGGCAGATAAGCTTGGCTTCTGAGAGTTAACTGACAAAATTAGATAAACAAGAATACCAGCAATGAGAGTAACCTACAATCTATTTTTGGAGTCACTTGATGGGGAAGTAACATAGACCAATCCTAAAAGAGAAAAACCCTTCTCAGAGAAGCTCAGAACTGTCACTGTCTGCACAGGGTTACTGGAGCATCATTTGTTAACTACACTGAAGGGGAACTTTCAAGCACACCCCAGTGGCATCTCCGGGCAATCAGAAGGCACCGAAGGAATCAATTTGGACACATGAGTGGTTTCCAGGTGGCTGAAAATGCAAAGAATTCAGTGCTTCGACAATTTCCCCTATTAATCAGGTCAGGCATTTGACACTCGAGGTGGCAAAAAATTGTCTTAATGGCAACATCCCCTTCCCCGCCTTGCCAATTACCCTGGCCATGGCATTCCTCTGTCCACACAGGCCACAGCTGCTTAATCTCAGCTGCCCCAGGCTGCACCTGTGAATCAGACCGGCCTAATCACACTAACAGATGGCAGAGGCCAAGCAGCCAGCTAAGAACTGCTATCACTTTAAATCGCATCTAATGTTTCACAGGCACCAAACAGAGGCAATTCCCGACCGCAGTATCTGCCTGGTACAGCTAACACCAGCCCTTAATCACTGCAGAGCACCCACTTCGGGGCAGAGTTGGTGTCATTCGAGAGCTAATTACAAAGTACCCTGGTTGCAAGGTGAAGGAAGGCACGGCAATTCACTCCACGTGGGCTGGCGTTCCTTAAATGCAACACTCTACTACCTGGCCCTACCTGGGCACTGAGCAGTCAGGACTAGTATTCAGGATGAAGAGAGAGTCATCAGAGAGAGATTCAGTTCATTCAGCCTACCCTGCTGTTACATTTTATAACTTCCTGTATATTCCGGGTAACATGCTATTAGGCAGGGGACTGATCACCAGAACAACACGGTTCCCAGGCATGCCAACAGAACCACGCTGAATCTGATGTCCCCGTCAACAGCAATGGCTCCCACACATGGGTACCACTTTAGAGCTGTAAACAACCGTGCAAGCATCCTCCCTTCACCCCCGTCGTCACCCTGAGTACTGGCAGAGGGGCGCTGTGATTAGACACGCAACAGGCCTCTGACTGAACTGCAGCTCTGCTTCTGGCTCACTGAATCACAAATTGCCAATGAATAAAACACAAACAACTTCTCTCTCCACCTTATCTGGTCGTTGCGGGCACTGACTGAACCAGCAGCCGGCCCAGAGTCGGCCCAGAGCAGACCCTTTTCATCACCGTCAGGGTCACTGCCTCTCCTGCCAGAGCCAAAGAACTAATAAGAAGTGAGCGGCATGTTGTAATGTACCAGTGTTTTATTACTAAATCGCAGTGATAATAACAACCTCATCACAGTTGTTATCACAGCAGAAGATGCTTTCACTCGCCTTATTACCCACTGTTTTACCAACAAGATCTCTAACAATAAACTCCTTCTGGAAGCAGATCTGCATGTGTGAATCCCTAAGCCAGTGGTTCTTAACGCGTACTGTGCATCAGAATCACTCCCAAAGTTTCTAATTCAGTGGGTCCGGGGTGGGCCCTGAGAATTTTTCATTCCTAGTAAGTTCTTAAGTGACGCTGATGCTAGTGGTCGCAAGCTTTCTCTTGCCAAAGAGTGAAAACTATATGAGCCAAAATACCTCCCTTTTTGCCTAAGCTGCTAGGAGACTCAAGAGACAAATCCAGTTCCCCACTTAAGCAAAACATTATCCCAGGTGCCGGACAACATGGATTTTTCTCTTCTTCCTTGAAAAAGCCCTGGGTCTATTTTAATAACGAATTATCTTATTATTTAGGCCTTGTTTAAAGTTATTAAAGTAATATCCTTTTGAGAAAACATAGAATATAACATCTAAGCAAAGAATGCCACTGACCAATGCAAAATCACTTTGGAAATATTCCAACCATGTTATTGGAAATATTTGATCTTCTTTATTGAATAAACACTCACAAATATTTTTCTGAGCAATGTACAAATATGGACTCATTAATCCTCATAACCCCAAAAGATATTGTGATTATTCCCATTTTACAGATAAAGAAACTGAGGCACAAAAGTTAAATTACTTGCCCAAGGTTACCCAACTCAGCAGTGGTGGAGCAGCATTTGAACCGAGGCTGCCCAGCTCTGAGAGGCCACATTCTCACTCACCATGTAAAGGCCTCCTAGTGTCAGTTATGGCAGTGCTTTAACTGCCTTTAAATATGCAAACAGCATTTGTTGCCCCCCCTTTTCTATCTGCAACGTAAGACACACTTCCCTTATTTCTGCTCAGCAAGCGATAATGTTTCACAAGCCCATGGTTTCTCAACCTTGGCACTATCACCATTTTGGACCAGATAATTCTTTGCTATGGGGCTGCCCTGTACATTGTAAAGATGTTTATTAGCAGCATCCCTGGCCTCTTCAAAGCCACTAGCATCCCCCCAACTTCCTGTGCTGAGACAACCAAACATTGCCCAGTGTCCCCCTGGGGAGGGGGAAGGAGACTCACCCCCGTGGGGAACCACTGGGACAAGCCAAGCACCGCTGACGGTTATGAAAGAGACCAGGATGTTACATGGCTCTACTGGCTTTACGTCTCCAAACGGTGAGAAGCCAGAGGAAAAAGGAAAACCAAGGAAAGAAAAGTCATAACGGCTTTCAAAAGAAAAGTGGCTACTGACACAAATAAGAAAGAACAAACAGTAGAGAAGGGTGTACAGTAACACTGGTTTATTCTCAGATTTGGAAGTCAAGAGAGTAGACACAGCGGAGAGAGGTGGGGACCGCGGGTGACAGCATCCCAAAGAGTCGACAGGGAGACAGCTTAGAGTCAGGACTTCCCACTGAGCTCTCCTCTCTCGGGGACCTTCGGAGACAGCAATTACTTACTCTTGCTGTTACTGTTCTCACTGACAAAATCCTCCGAGCCATCTGTGTCGTCCTCATCATCTCCGGATGAGATGGCATCTGTATTCAAAAGAACATATCCATGGTTGTGTTTTTGCAAAGCCAAAGGTTGCAATCATCTACAACTTAGTCTTTCTGGAAAGGGGATTCAACAACCCAGGAACCCAGGCAAGAAGTCTGAGACCATGATTAGTTAAGATGGTTTTAATGGCTTAAATTTTCACTCCATCATGATAGTTCGTCTGTATTATGATTCTCAACGTTTTTTGCTTTCACCTTATTTAAACATGCTATAAAATTGGATGTACTGAAACTGGATTTTAAGCTTCCAATGGTACTCGAGTCCCCAACGAACTTACTGACTGTGTAATACCCTAAGATTCTTTCCAACACAAGCTTTCAGCACTCGGGGTCTACTTCAAGAAAGCAATTAGTCGCTAGAAAAACTCAGCCCCCGTGTGGCCTTCTGACTGTTTACTAATATCCTGAAAGCGGAACTTTAAACTTGGCTGCAAAAGGGGTCCTGTGCAGTCCCTCCTCACCACATGGAAGAAAAGTCAAGGAGAGAAACTCAAATTTTAACAAAAGGAGGCAGAAATCGTCAGCATCCAAATTTCAGTTCTGTGTTCTAAATGCCAAGGATGCCGGTGGTATGGGGGTAAAAAAAAAAAAAAAAAAAGATGTGCTTTTACTTATAGGAAAGTGTGCTGTCTTAAAAGAAAAATGTTAACTGTGCACATGAGAATCCTGTCATTTTTAACGACCAGCCTCTCTGATATACCAGGTCCCGGAAAAGAACTTCAAAAACAGATCAATCACAAACTGTGAAGTTCTGTGCCTGGCATCCAATTAGCAGATCCCACTATGATTTCACTTGTCCAATAACACTTTACCCAGAAAAACGGCTACAGAGAAGAGAGAGAGCAGACAGCTGGGAGGCCAACTCACCTGTGACATTGACCATGAAGTAGACAGTCTCACTGTCTACCTTTCTAGCAGCCGTACAAGCATAGAGGCCGGAGTCTCTAGGCGTGGCACCTTTTATCTGCAAGTACTCCCCAATTAGCACTGTCCTATTGTTGGGCCCCAAGTGTACCCCATCCTTAGTCCAACTGATCGTGGCGGCATCTCGCAACAGGCAGCGCAACTCTAGCGATTCCCGGGGCGCAGCCACGTAAACTTCTGGTTGGGAAATTTGGTATTTGGTTGATGGCTCTGCAGAAAGGTGGGAGAGAGAAGACGGAGACAGATGGGAAAGAGGGAAAGGAGAGAACGTCCAACAAAGGTCAGTGGAGGCCCCTTGACTCCCAGGAGGGGCAGTTCATGCTTTGCAAATGGCCCCAGGGGTGTCCGCTTCTCCTCGCACCCCCAGAAGCCGCCCTCACCAAGGAGAAGAGGAGAATCCAAAACCAACCAGAGGAAGGTACCCGGCAAGAGCTGCCCCACTGAGTTTCCACAAACTGTAGAGCGTTAAACACAAACCCCAAACCCAATTGGAAAGACACTATACAAGAAAACTCTAAAGTCGATTATCAATCCAAAGCCTGCTTACACTGTAACCCCCGGGAAAGTCTATCATCGTGGCGTTTTTAGTCTGTGAGAACGTGTGTTTTACAAATGGTTTAATTCCACGTGACTGCATGGCTGTGTACACACGCACGCACGCACGCACGCACGCACACACCCCTATTTATTTGTGCTGACTCTGCCTGTTGTCATAAATCTGAGCTTCTTAAAAAGAAATGCCTCAAACTCTCAGGCTCAGATCAGAACATTGCTGGTCTGGAGACTTAATTCTGTGCTGGGTGAGCTGGGATACACTGCTTTCTCTTAAAATGATAATAGCCTTGGAGGCGTTAACGTCAAAACAGAAAAGAGAGAAATGCCCCCAGGGAGCCCAGAGGCGGTCCCTGGTCCCCATTACAATTAAATGGATCCTGAAATGAAGCTCCTGAAGGCTGCAGGACTGTTGCTCCATTCGGAAAGCTGGACCGCTCCCTGCCCACAAGCCCCCGCCATACACCCTGGGTTTCAGCCTCCTCAGGCCTCAGCCTTTGTCTCCTTTAGGGCTGTTCCATCCTCCCTTGCCTCCACACTAACACCAACCCGTCCTTCAAGGCCCAAATCACTCGTGCCCTCCCGGATGAGGGTGTGCCACCAGCCACCCTGTCCCAGAAAGAAGCGGGTCTCCCCTCTTCCCCAGCTCCTGGGGACGGACAACATTCCTGATGGACTTGTCCTGTCCCCAGAGGAGATGCCAAGATCCTGAAGCGAGGGCTGAGGTCTTGTGGCTCTTTGTGAGCCCCTCCCCTGCCCCAGGCAGACACGTGGAAGGTGGTCATTTCGAACAGGGCAAGATGGGACCTGGCAGGATCCAGCCTCCGCGAAAGGAGTGACAAGGAGCCGTGCGTCTTTAAGAACAGCCGGAGCTGCCAGCCGGGACCCACGAGGGTCTATGAATCAGCTTTCATCCTTCACAGTGAGAACTATGAATGGTACCCAGAGTCCCAGGCCCAGCAAAACACAAAGCTGCCCAGCTCTGGGATGGTTCCAAAGCTGGGCAGCATCACAAGGCAATTGTTTTGTCCTTTTGAATGTGGCCTGGACCAATCTCCCACATAAGGTTGAAAGAAAGTTTCTTCACATTTCAGTCCCTGTATCCAAGGACCAGCAAGAGCCACACACATCTGGTTCTAGAAAAATCCTTCTCCCCACCACGACCGCCAGCCAACATGGAGGGCCAGGGCCCCGCAAAGGGGCACCCCTAGCCTCACCGAGGCATCCACGCCAAGAAGGGCCCAGACGTTGAACAGGATGGGAGCATAAGGAGGTTACTACAACAAAGAGGAGAAAACAGAAGTCATGTTTAACATGGAAAAACACACCCCAAAACAAGGGCAGAAAGCCCCAACTGACAAGCAGGTTACATTTCAAAAGTTTGTTTTTCTCATTCAACAATTATTTATTGAACACCTACTACGGGCCACGCTGCTTTTTATTCTGGATGCTCAAGAAGCAACAGGAAACAAAAACAGTCCTTGCACTTATGGGATATTAATTACAGTGGGGCGACAGACAATAAATACAACATCTACAAAACTAGAAAGTATGTAGGGTGGTCCTAAGTGTCAAGGAGAAGAATTCAGCAGGTTAGTGGCACACCCAGAGATGGAGGCTCTGGGCTCCAAAGCAGGAGTTGGCAAACCACAGCTCCCGGGCCAAACCCAGCCATGGGTTTTTGTAAACAAAGTTTTATAGGCGCACAGCCATGCTTACATATTGTCTGGGGCTGCTGTGATGTGACAGTGGCAGAGCTGAGTAGTTGAAACAGAGACCGAATGGCCTGCAGAACCTAAAATATTTACAGTCTCTCCCTTTAGAGCAAGTTCACCAACTCCTGTTGTATAGGATGGTCAGAGAAGTCTTCTCTAGAGAGAAGTGAAGGGCAAAGCAATGCTTAAAAGATGTTGCTGGGAACTTAGCTGGAAGGTCCTCAGAAGAGGCCTCCCAAGGCTAAGTCATAATGCTGCTGAATTCAGGGACTAATAAAAATGTTTTGAACTCTGGATCCTGAGCAGAAATGCGGGTAAGAGGGGAAATGGAGAACAAAGAAATCAGTTTGGCCCGTAATCTCAGAGCATCTCCCACTTCCCACCTCCTAGAGTCAGGGCCAGTCAATATCCGAAATGACGGGCCCCCAAAGGCCACCTGGCCCACCCCTTTCACAGCTGGTCAAGGCCAGGACCAGATGTCATTTGGGTCCTGGGTCTCCAACAACTGATTATAGAAACAGCACCCACAATGTTAGAATGAATTGCCAGTGGCTTAGCCTGGGTCATAAAATAATCGATATTTATTACAACCACATTGTATGATCAGCAAGTTACCAAGAATGTTGTGGAATTTGCTTTCCTCTGAGCCAGAACTGGTCATCAAGAGATGACTGAGCAAGAAGCCAACTGGTCAGAAGCAGCAACACTTACCTCCCTTAAAGGAGAGCCCAGGACCCGTAGGGCCAACCTGTTCTGTCCTGGCCCTCGGATAAGGGGAAGACATGTCCCTATTTCATGGAGGCACTGGAAAGCTCTAATACTGTTTTGTTTCTGTTTTGTCTTGTTTGTTTGTTTGTTTAAAAAGAAAAAAAAGCAAGACACTTGCAATTACGATGCAGAAAAATTTCTCTCCGGACAAAGGTGGAATTATGATTTCTCCATTTTTAAAGGAAAGCATTTTGACTGAGAAGCCTTTCCTTCATCTGAAATGGGTAAACCACAAAGTCATGCTGAAACCAGGAGTATCTGAGATGCTGGACCAACATCACCAAAAAGACACCACCACCTGCTGCTGCAGAAGGAGGTAACACGGGGCGGGAAGGACCACGTCCTGTTCAGGCTGGACACACAGGAGATGCTGGTTAAGTGCGTGCAGCCTGCCTGGGAAAAGGATGAAGCCCTGAGGTTCAAGCCCACTCTGCTCCTACCTAAGCTCTCGGCCTCAGCTTCCTCATCTCCTGAGAAGCAAGAATGCCCCCCAAACAGGATATTATCTTGAGAATCCAACAAGCCATTCAATATGAACCTGACCTTCCAACTATACCTGGTTGGGCCCATGACGGTCACTATCTCCGTCGTTCTTCAAGGCTGAAGACACTGCCACGATCTCGAGTGCCACTCTTTTTGGAGGATCATCAGAGAGACTCCTTGGATTTGTATCGCCATGGATACAGAGTGATGCTACTAATGATGGGCTCCCAGGTCAAAAGGACTGGTAAGGTGACTTGGGATACTAAGAGTGGTTTTAATTTCCAGGAAAACCAGGTCAAAACTGTCACCCAGGGCTTCCCTGGTGGCACTGTGGTTGAGAGTCCGCCTGCCGATGCAGGGGACATGGGTTTGTGCCCCGGTCCAGGAAGATCCCACATGCCGCGGAGCGGCTGGGCCTGTGAGCCATGGCCGCTGAGCCTGCGCGTCCGGAGCCTGTGCTCCGCAACGGGAGAGGCCACAACAGTGAGAGGCCCGTGTACCGCACAAAAAAAAAAAAAAAAACTGTCACCCAGTTTTCCAATTAGATGATAAGCTTCAAGGGTAGTAAAATAATTCCCCAAAATACATCAGTAAGATAACAATGTTCATTCATAACATTAAGCCATCCACCTTCAAGGTCTGAAACCAGTAACTACTACCAGTGGGAGATTCTAAAAGTGTGTGCTCCCGCCTCCCCAGCTGATTATTTCACAACAGGCTCATCTGGGGGGTCTGTGGCGGCTTTGGGGAACCCCGGCAGAACCCAGCAATACTCCTGCATAATCTAGGACTTCAAGCGCAACTTAGGGAGGATGGGAGAGTGAATAGAAAGGGGGGAAGAAGGGACAAGAGGTTGGGGATAAAAAGCCGGGGAAGACCAGTGGGGCACATGGTGGGGGTGAGGGGCAGAACGACACGCCCATCCCAGGCCACCCAGCAGCTCCCGTGGCCCAGCTCGTAGGTTCCTGCATCAAAGACATCCCAGGGCACGGACACTTAGCCCGAGACCCAAACCACTGGCTCAGTGGAGGCAGCTCTGTCCCTGCCCCTCCCACGCGGCCACTGGGGCTTGGTTTCTCTTCTGTGCCGCTATCCTCCAGGTGACTCCCTGCCACGTGCTCCCGAGTGCTCAGTGGACACCTCCACAGTGGTACCGACCTCACTTTGCTCCGTGGAGACAACGGGCCGGTTCCCTCTGACATCGGTGATGCTGCATCTGCGGTACCCTACCCACCCCTCTAACTGTGATGTGATCACCTCCCAGTGTCTCAGGTCAGTGCCTCCCCTTGAGTCTACCAAGCTACACGGCCTGCTCTATAAAATATGATGGTTGGGGCCTCCCTGGTGGCGCAGTGGTTGGGAGTCCGCCTGCCGATGCAGGGGATACGGGTTCGTGCCCTGGTCTGGGGGGATCCCACATGCCGCGGAGCAGCTGGGCCCGGGCGCCGTGGCCGCTGAGCTTGCGCGTCCGGCAACGGGAGAGGCCATGACAGTGAGAGGCCCACATATCGCAAAAAAAAAAAAAAAAAAATATGATGGTTGATGTGGGTCAAAGTATTCCCTGAGAGATTTAAACGATACCTTTTATAGCAATATTAATATTTCCTGCATTTATTTTTTCTGGTACTGTAGCATACTTTTTACTCTTTCTTACAGACAGGAGTGGAGAAATCCATGCAGAGCACACACACA